GAACCCCATCCACAAATCCACTCCCATCTGGGAATGGGTCAATGAGAGTGCCTACTATCCATCCCTTGGTTTCAGCAAGCCCTGAGAAAGAGTCTGGAACAGACTTAGTAGTAAAAATTCAGGTCTTCTGAGAACTCATCTGTGTCAGCAGAGATCAGTGACATGCTCAGGCCTTCCCAGGGCCCTGATATACTCTTTCCACAGTATAACAAGCCTGAAATGATGGGAGATGACTACCAGCAGTGGTCTACCTGTGGGAGGTTCCAGAACTGTTTCTTACTTCCTGAGCTAGAGAAGACCAGGAAAGAGAGAAGTGCTTGCTGCTCTAGGCCAGGACAGTACTTCTGGGAATGATCAGAACATGTCCAGTGGAGGGATTTCCGGTGGAAATTGCAATGTTTGCAGAGTGGGCATTTTTAAAAGAAAACAGGTGAGTGAGTCTGTCTGCCCTGAGAATTGGGCAGCCCGAGGAGCCAGGGTCACAAAAGGACAGACCATTCATGGGAAATGCAACACAGTGAGCTCCTTAGAAGCGATGGAAAGCTGAGGAAGCAGGTGATGAGTGAAGCAAGCTAATGGGTCATAAGTGTATAGGCACAGAAATGCTAGAATTCCATTCACCCTGGTTCACCTAAATGATAGATTTCCAGCTATGAAACTGGCCTTTATTGGCATCTATGCATTGAGATTCTATTACCCACTATTACTTGTGCAGTGTGGATACATAATCATATCAGTATGTCTCATATTTGCTCAGTGGGTTAAACAGTATTCTGGTGCATGGTTATAAAAATGCACCCAGTGTACATGTATGAGTCACAAAATGTTAGCCACACTGAATCCCTCAAGTAGTGGGGGTGGAATTCAAGGAGGAGGAGAGCTCTTCCATATCTTAGACCCAAGGACCAAATACTTTAGACCCACAGTCTGAAATTGCATAAAACTGATTTCCAGAAGCAGAACTCCTACCCCTGGACCATAAGTTGGGCATCATCCCAACCCCTCTCCAAACCTCCTTTGAAGCTTGCACCCTTGAAAGTCAAGAGAGGGAGATAAGTGGGGCCAGGATGGATGCCTGAAGCCAGAAGAAGCAAGGTTAAGTGTTATAAATGCCACTGTGAAAGAGCCAGCCCTGAGTTCTAACGTGGACCCTAGCTCCCAGTGAGACAGAAATAACTCCACTCCATCCTATCCAGCAATTGTTATGTGCCAGTTGAAGTGATTCTATTTCAAAAAGAGTGCTGGGGAAAGGACTAGGTAGTGCTTAGAAACCATTCTTATCCAGGAAAAAAAAAATCAAACTTCCTCTATGGCTCAAGGATGAGAAAGCTAGGCCTTGTGTGAGCTTGACTTTACAGCTCTGCTGTTGAGTCTGGAAGGTGGGAGGGCCACCACATTCATCCCCCTGCTCTTTTCCAGGACTTAGGCCAGAATACAAAGATATGGTGTGGTATGGTGTGGTATGGACAGCGCATAGCCTACAGACTACATGCAGCATACATGCATCTGCTTATGTCTCCTCCCGAAGGGTTAACAGAGTGATAAAGGGTGACATTCTATTATTTTGTGATCATCTAAGTGGCTCTTTCCTTAGTCATCTATGAGGCATTTTTGGCACTTACACACCCAGGAGACTTCTACTCCTAAACACCTGTGGGTGACTATGTGACTATGTAGTTGAACAAACTGGCAACAACAAAAATGTGTCAAAAAGACTTCTTCTCTCTCCTAACTTTTTTTTTTTTTTGAGGTGCCAGAGGACTTGGATTCTAACCCTTCCTCTCCTCCCTTCACTCACAGAAGACTCCTATCGGGGTGGAACTTTCCCCTGTGGTACCCTTCAGTCCATTTCTCCAACTGATATATTAGTAAGTCAGAACTGGAGAAGATCACGAAGGCTAACCTGGGAGGGCTTTGTTCAGTCCCGTTTTGGTAAGGAGGCCTAGAACACAGGATCTCTGGCTTCCAAAGTGAATGTCCCCACCACTGATTCTGGGGAGGGGGTGGAAAAGGGACATATCCAGTCTTTTTCTGTGCCTTAAACAAAGCCTGGTTGCCCTGGCTTGTTAATGACTCCATTTCAAACTTAGACATTGTTACACATCCATAATGAGTAAGTACTTGCCTCACATGCTGAGTCCCCATGACTCCCCATATAGATGTGCATAGTTTCCATGTGCACAAGTCTTCACCTAGGTGTGTAGGTGCCAGAATGCCCTGTATATGGCAAAAAACAGACATTTAGATGACCAGGAAATAAGAGAATATCACCCAAAGTGCATACAAGTAGCCAAACAAACACTTGCATGGCAGGGTGAGCTCTAGTTAATGTACAAAGAATAATGCTCAAGACACACTGAGAACTTACTCTTTAGCCTTGGACTCACTCACCTTCCAGTGTCCCACTTGGATTTCCCACACCTTCCTCACACCCAACAGCTGGGATACTGCTTTTGGCTCCTTCCTGAAGCATGTAAGGACATCTTCACTTTGAAATGTGGTTCCTGACTTTCATGGATTTGAGCATCTTCTGAAACTGAGTTTGTGGTGGGTGTTGTTGTTTCTCATTGCCCTGGCTTTGAGAAGTATAAGTCCCTCAGCTTTTAGTCCCTTTCAGGTAATTTATTGCTCTACTCAGTGATGGTCCCTCATGTCCAGTGATTCCTTTCTCTGTTGAAGAAGCCCCTGCCCTGGCTGAAGGTGTCACAGAAGGTGGTTATGATGATGCCGGAGAAGTTCCTGATCTTGCATGTGATCCTGTTTTTGGGCAGCAATACCAGGGAATCCTTGGTGTCCCAGCAGAACGAGACATGAATAGGGGCTCACAGACAGGTGAGAGGAAAGAACAATATTTCCAATGCTCACAACCTTATCACTCATCTCATGACATGCAGGCTTTTCCAAAATTCCCAGCTCCTGGAGGCGAAAGAGCACATAAGAAATGCTGTTTCCCTTTAAAGAACAGCAAGCTGTCTAGTCCTAATCACTGCAGAAGGAAACTTTAGAACATGAAACAGGGTCCGCTTTAGGGATCAAAAACAGAAACCAGAGGAGAAAAGCTGAAGGCAAAATTCTAAGGTAGCCACCCTGAGTAAGCACTTACATGACCTGTGTCAGCGTATCATAAGGCTCCTTGAAATCTTCTTACAAGTGCTAAGCTACTGTCTTAAAATCTGCAGGGAATTGGCCTGGGATGAAATATTCCGTTTTGTGCACTAAATGAAAATCAAGTGTGAATCTGTTTTGTTTTGATAGGTAAGACTTACATTATTCTCCAGTATTAAGGTTCTTCCTCTTGAGATATATTGTCTAGGGAGCCCTACACTGTTGAGTTTCCTGCTGGCATAATGATTTCCTATGGCTACAGATATTGTCATAAGATAATGTGACCCCTTGACTATGAAGAAGAGAGCCAACCCTTTGATCTCCTCACACTTCTCTTGAACCCAAAAGTTCACAGCACAGGAGCCAATCTGCTCCTGGAGCTTCCTTTGTAGAATCTCTCTGACAGTGTGGGACTGAGCTGTATTGTTTTTATCACCATCATAGAGTCCTCAAAACATCTATACAACATAATCTTGCCCATGTTCATAGAATCACAGACAGCTGTTGAAGAACCATCCCCAAGAAATGTAACTATGGCAAAATACAGGCATCTGGAGTGAAGATCTGCCAAGGAGCCATGCTAACAAACACTGTGCCACCAGCTGAGAAGAACCTACCTCCTTGGGTGCCTCCAAGCTAGAATGGCTTACTGTTACCAAGTGAAAGCCTTGGAATAAGACAGAACTGTAAATACAAAATCCAAATTATCCCCTTCAACAGCTCTATTCTATGCCTTGTTCTGATTAATAATCGGGTGTCTGGAATTGGAATTACTACTGATCTCTCCCTAGGTTCCTTAAAAAAGTCACTGAAGAGAATTAGGAGCTTCCAAACAGTGACCCACAAAAGCCAATGCTCAAGAAAACAGGAATTGCTGAGAGCAGGATTGTGCCTTAACTTACATCCCTCCTTAGAGCAAAACCATCCTTGTCCACATGTGCTCCTGAACCCCAGGTCCTGTTCTGAGGAAGGGAAGATCTGATGCCAATGCCACCCAACTGTTTCATAACTGTCTAGTGTTACAGCACTCCCAGAGATGGTTGGAGACTTCTGTTCTAGGCCTTCTTCTTCCTGGTGAACTCAAGCCCTGATCCTCCATTGTCTTGACCACTAGTACAGAATAGCTTGTGTGGGGAATCCTCTAATCCTCTTGCTGAATCTGAGCCTCTGTGCCACCAAGAATGTAAGCATAGCCCTTGCAAGCATAGAGAGTAAGGATGGAAACTTCTCTGGGCTCAGTTAGAAGCAAAGATGGAAGACAAGTAGCAGCCAATGCTATAGACTTGCACACGTGTTGTGTGAGGGCATGTGGATGCATGTTAGACATAGTGTTTGTAATGTATTTCTGTTGATATTTTCAGAATGGAGTGTGCACTGGCTTGAAAGTGAAGGAACCTCTGAGGCTGTGCAAGATGACCCTTCCCTCTTTCTTGGAGGGAAGGGTTATTATGCTGATGTTGAAGATGGTATGTCTTGATCATCACTCTAAGAATGAATTTGTGTTGAGCAAATATTCTGTGGGAATGTAAATGCTGTATGATTAGATTCCTTCTGTCCAAAACGCAAACTGGGTCTTAGTGGCTGAAGGGGCAACCAAACCTGGAATAATTGAGACTCACTTCTGGAAAATGGTTTCATTTATTCACCAAAATCTATGAATGTGACTAAAGAAGGGGCTCTAATTTGCCGTTTTATTTCCAAATGATCAGACTCTCCATACATTTCCTGGTTTCTATTCTTCATCATACATTTAAAGGGTTTTTTGTTTGTTTGTTTTGTTTTAAATAAAACCTTTTTGGTATTAAGCTCCAAGCTGCTGCTTCTCTCTTGAAATATGTCACACTAGAAAAGGCCCACCTCCCTGGCTCTCAAGTGAGAGGATGAATTTAGAGTGTACAGCAAATCCAGTGTGCAGTAATTTAGAGGAGCACAGCAAGAAACCATCCCTGGCTATGGAGCTGTTCCTAACCCCAAGGCTTCAAATACTTAAAGGGCTGCCATAGCATAGAAGGAAATAATTTTTGCTGACTTGCTGCAGAGAGGGGACTTGAACCAATGGCTTGAAGTTGCAGGAAAGAAAGTTTAGATTGGATATCTGGAAAAAAACCCAAACAACCCAAACTTCTTCACTTTGAGAATAGTGAAGCATTAGAATAGACTGCCTAGGGAAGTTGTGGATTCTCTGTCACTGGAGGTATTTACAAAAAAAGTTAGACAGCCTCTGGTTGGGCATGATATAGGTGTAGCTATGCCTATATTTAATTACTGGTATTTCCCAGGATTCTGGGCTTTGCTGGTTGCCCCCACCTTCCATTTCTGCTGCATGTGACAGGGGTTTTTTTAAGCCTCCCTCAGGGGCATTGTGTGTTGGCTACAGGCAAGTCTGAGGACTTTGCCTGGGGTGTGCCAATGCTGCTGCTTGGACCAAAGCTGGAGGTTCCTGGCTAGAGGGTCCTGCATCTTTGCTCAGGGTCAAGGTTAACACCATATTTGGGGTCAGGAAGGAATTTTAGTCTAGGTATGATTGGTATGGGTGGTGGGGGTTCTGCCTTCCTCCGCAGCAAGGGCCATGGCCCTCTACCTGAGATCCCTTGACCATATGTTGACAACATTTCATTGAACCAGAACATTCTATGCCAAAGCTGACTAGTGACTTCCAAGAATGACCTCCCGAATGTGCTTTTGCCCTGTGGACATGGCACACAGATAGAACTTGAAGGAGGTTATTCTCAGCTGACTGTAGGTATCAGGGTGGTACATAAGACAGGAGGCAATCCTGTAGGTATATAGGGCCCAGGCCATTTATATGCCACAAATGGCCTGTGTCTATTAACCAAAATGTTGCATTGCAAAGATGTACCATATTTATCCAAATCTAGTTATTCAGCATCTCACTGATACTGAGATACACATATCAGCTTGAACAGAGTTCAAACACTAAGCAAAACTATTCCCTGAAAGACAGTGGGTATCAGATTTCTGTAAAAATCCAATAACGGGAAAGGAGAATAACCTGGAACAGCCCTACCGCTAAAGGATTTTAGCTACAATTCCCTCTAATCCCACAGAATCCCTGAAAAATCTTGCCAGAATAAGGAGCCAGGGTCTTTGAAGGCAATTTCCAGCCCTGCATCTAGTTCTGTAAGTTTGATATGAGGATCTTTATGAGGCCACTGAGTTCCTTTCCAAATCAGTTGTGGTCCTGCCAAAGTCCCTGTGATGTCATTGCT